GAGACACTGTTCAGTGATTTGTAGACATACATGAGTATTTTGAACTGGATTTGAAAGTGAACCGGTAACCAGTGCAGGGAGGCCAAAACTGGTGTAATGTGCTCTCTTTTGCCTGTACTGGTTAAAAATGGGGCTGCTGCATTCTGGACCAGTTGTAGTCGTGCAATGGAGGTCTGACTGATACCAAACAGGAGTGAATTGCAGTAATCAAGCCTAGATGTAATGAATGCATGTATTACTGTCTCCAGGTTCTTTTTGGACAATATGGGCTTCAGTTTAGACAGCCGCCTCAGTTGGAAGAAGCATGATTTAACAGTCATGTTTACATGATTGTTAAGATTCAGGGAAGGGTCCATTATCACGCCCAGATTAGTGACTCTTTGTTTTTCTGACAGGGTTAGAGCGGAGAGGTCGATGCAGTGGTTTGTGATCGTGTCGTTGGGAGGGAACAACATGACTTCAGACTTCTTTTCATTGAAACTTAAGAAATTTAAAGCCATCCAGTCCCTGATGTCAGCCAGGCAGTTGAGCAGCGGTTGAATAGAGCATGTACCATTGTGTCTTAGGGGAAGTAAATTTGACAGTCATCGGCATAGAAGTGGAAGGGCATGTTGTGTTTCCGGAAAATAGCACCAAGCGGCAGCAGGTATAAAGAGAATAGGAGGGGACCCAGTATGGACCCCTGCGGAACCCCCCATTTAAGCTCTGCCTCTGCGGAACTAAAATCCTTGATGGAGACACAAAAGGATCTGTCAGCGAGGTAAGATCTGAACCAATTGAGGGCTGATCCTGTGACGCCCACCCACTGCTCCAACCTAGCAATGAGGATCTCATTGTCGATGGTGTCAAAGGTGGCTGTGAGGTCCAACAGGACAAGCAGCACAGAATCACCGGTATCTGTGAATCTGAAGATGTCGTTAAAGACCTTCAGCAGGGCAGTTTCAGTGCTGTGGAGAGGTTTAAAGCCAGATTGGAATAGCTCTAAGATGGCGTGATCCTCCAGAAAGCACTTCAACTGGGACTCGACTCTTTTCTCTTTTTCTCTTTTTACACTGTGTCCATGTAGTACAGGTGTGTCAGTGAGTACAGGTGTGTCAGTGAGTACAGGTGT